GCAACTTAGTCCTCAAGCTGACATCTTTGCTCTTCAACACTTTAAAAAGGTCTTGTGCAGCAGATTTGCCTAATGCAATGCGTCATTTGATTTCTTGACTGCTACTTCCGTGAGTGTTGATAGTTGATCCAAGAAAAATGAAGTCCTTGACAATTTCCGTCTTTTCAGACTAGGCCATGGAAGAGTGAGTTAGGATAGGATAATTTCATCAGATCACAAAATGGGAGATAATTACATAATACTGAGGATCTAGATCTAGCCAAGTTGATACACATTTTAGGGGGACATAATTCAATCCATAACACTGAACAACTTTTATTTGCCATAATTTTTAAATAATTCAATAATTTATGCTTTGGGGATGAATGATCTCAAAGGAAGTTCTCTTGGATTCTCTCAAATACTAGTTTTGCCCAGTTCCCTTTAAACTTTCTTCAAATACTGTCTTATGTATATTCTTGGCACAGATATTTAGAACTTGAAAGTAAAAAGCAGTGATGAAACCACCTATGCTGTGTATGTGTGTGTGGCAAAAATACATGTGACAAATTGTCTTCAACATTCTTCATATGTACAATTCAGTGACATTAGTTGTATTAATCACACTGTTATATCATCACTGTTATCTGTTTCCAAATTTTTCCATCACCCTTAATAAAAGCTTGTTGTTGTTGTTGTTAAGTATTGTCTAGTCAGTTTCAATTCATAACAACCCTGTATAGGGTTTCCTGTATAGGAGCAACTGGTGAATTTGAATAGCTGACCTGTGTTTCAAACCAAACTTTTGGTCCAGTGCTTTATTCTACGTGCCTTGGGTCTCCTAAATAGTGAACTCCCTTTTGTTCACCACTGTCCTGATGAACTCTAATCGCTATACACTTGCCTATCCTAGATAGTTCATGTAAATTTGTCCCATTGTGACTGATTCAGCATAATGTTTTCAAGTTCCATTCATTGTTGTAGTATGTTTTGGGATTTCATTTCTCTTTATGGCTGAGTAAAATTCCATTGTATGTATGTATGTTGTTGTTAAGTGTCAAGTCAGTACTGACCCACAGCGACTCTATATAGGGTTTCTGAGGAGCAGCTGTGAGCTTGAACCGCCAACCTTGCGATTCAAACCAACTTTGTAGTCCAGCGCCACACCAAGACTCCACTGTATGTATTACAAATCGGGCTGCTAACCACAAGGTCAGCATTCGAAACTACCAGCTGCTCAGTGAGAGAAAGATGAGGCTTTCTGCTCCCATAAAGATTTATGGCCTAGGAAGACCTGTTCAGGGTTGCTATGGGTCTATGGGTCGGAACCAACTCCATGGCACTTAACAGCAACAACAACCACAGTTTAGTTGTCCATTCATATGTTGATGGACATTTAAGCTGTTTCCACCTTTGGCTGACCTTGAGATTCGAAGTGTACCTGCGTAGCAGGTATACTTCTCACAGGCCCTATGGGCCTCTGGGAAGTTAAGAGTCTTTCTTACTAAATTATCTTCCTAATCTGGTGTTTACTTTGTGATAAAGAATGTCCTACACTGAAATTCAGCCAAAGACAGAAAGAATTATTTTATTGTGACCTTAACACCATCCTCAGAGCTATCCTCTTTCTTTGACAAGCTTATCATATAATTAATTAATGGCCATTTCAAAGTTTGTGGTTAGTGTTTATGGATATAGGGGTTGTTATTGTTAAGTTCCATCGAGTAGGGTCCGACTCATAGCGACCCTGTATAGGGTGCATAGAGGAGAGGGACGTATTTCTTTTCAAAGATTTCCTGGTCTCATAAACTCGTGTTCTTACTGCCCTGAAGCCCCAAGCCTCATTACATCTGTTTTCTTTAGGTTAGTCCTTCATTAGTATCCTGGTGAGGCACTGTAGGATAAACACTGGATCATAACATAAGGTCTGTTTGAATCACAAGGTTGGCAGTTCAAACTCACCAACCGCTCCTCGGAAACTCTATACAGGGTCGTGCTATGTGTCAGAAGCGACACAATGGCACTTAGCAACAACAAGAAGTCCTTCATTAATTGAAAGTGAGTAAGCAGAAGCTATTACAATCCTTGGAAGATATAAAAGATTAGTAGATCTCTGAAGTGTCTTCCAGCTACATGATTTTATGATTTTTCTGTAGCTCTTGAGGCCCACCTTCCACCCTCAGAATACTTTCCTTTGTAATATACTCACAGTTGTTTCCTACATGGGGTTCTATCAATTCTATGAACTATCTTCAGTATTTTCATAGCTAAGTAGAACAAACTATTTGCGAGGGGCAAAGTTGGTCATACTCACTAAAAGACCCACTTTGCTTTGATTTTAAATCATAGCTCATGCTATAAACTTAATGCTGAGTTATGAATGCCAACAATCCGCTTAAATGAAGTACTTACAGGATGTAGTTCATCTATCAAACTCTTAGACCTATGACAATAAGGTAATAAACAATTTCTTTGATTTGGGACATATTGGTAATTTTCTCTTTAATTCTCTTCTTCATTTCTTACTTTCTGCACAGTTCTCTTTTGAAAATCCTGACACTGGATTCCCATTTTCTACTCCTTCTTTGCACCCTGAGGACATGGATATACATTTTCTTCTAACCACCATGGAAGCTAGCAAGGTACTAAACACATAGATTTGCTGATTGATCTCTTTAATAACCTATTTGGGGAACTCTCTGAATCAGAGCTTGTTGCTTATGAGACAACAGCATGTGATGAAAAAAAGACCAGGTTAAGATTCTTGAAAGAGTCTTCATCCCGTTCTACTCTGACATGCTACATGATCTCACACAGGACATTTAACATCATTGAGAAAACTGTCAGAGTTTTCTAAGTTATATTTAAGTTCATTTTATTTACTATATTAAAATTAAGAGAAAAAGTAAGATGTTTACAGTATTAAAGCTTAGATATTATAATGTAAACTGTTGTTGTTAGGTATCTTTGAGTCACCCCTGATTCAGAGTGACCCCATTCATAACAGAACAAAATCTTGCTTGGTCCTATGCCATCCTCACAATAGTAGATGTGTTTGTGTCCACTGTTGCAGTCACACTGTGTTAATCTTGTTGAGAGTCTTCCTCTTTTTTTCTGACCCTCTACTGTCCTAGTGTGGAGCTGTGGGTTAATGCGCTGGACTGCAAAGTCGTTTGAATCTCAAGGTGAGCAGTTCAAGCTCACCAGTCACTCCTTGGAAACCCTATACAGGGTCGCTATGGGTCGGAATCGACTCGGCATTCAACAACAACAACTTTACCCAGCATGATGCTGAAATCATCTCTGAAGGAGGAAACAACCTACCAAAGTGGAAGCAAACACTGAATTTGAAACTGACAACTCTGTTCTAACGTTGGCCAAACTGTCACTTATTTGTGAAGTAATTTCCTTATCTATGAAGTAAAGATGATTTTTTAATTCTGTCCAGGTCTAACCTCTCATGATTCTGATCAAGGAGGGTGGCAGAGAGGAATATATTTCAATCTGGAACATTCCAGCTCTTACATAAATATTGATAATCTCAAAGCAGAAACAGATCAGTTCCCTTGCATCAGTTTCAAGAGGTTTGTTTGTTTGTTTGTTTGTTTGTTTGTTTGTTTGTTTGTTTTGAGGGCGGTGGGAGGTCCTTTAGGTGGTTTAATTGGTAAAAGTGATTATCTCACAAACAGGAGATCTTGGCTTTGATTCTGGAAGTTTTAAGGATCCCTCCTATAAAGATTTACAGCCTTGAAAACTTTGTGGTGGTATTTATGTGCTGTGGAGTCGGAACCAACTCATAGTGACCCTGTACAGGGTTTCTGAGGCTGTAAGTCTCTATGGGAACAGAAAGCCTCCCTCATCTTTCTCCTGCGGAACAGCTGGTAGTTTTGAACTGCTGACTTTGCGGTTCGCACCCCAATTCATAACCACTATGCTACCAGAGCGCCTGTGAAAACTGTATAGGACAGGTCTATTCTGTTCATTGTTGTTAAGTGCCGTGGAGTAACTTCCAATTCATAAAGACCCTGTATAGGGTTTCCAAGGAGCAGTTGGTGAGGTTGAACCACTCACTCTGTGGCTCAAACCGATCTTCTGGCCCTGTGCTTATCCTGTAGTGCTATACCAGTGCTCTGTTCTTTAGGGTCACAATAAATCAGAATCTGCTTGAAGGCAGTAGTTTTGGGTCTGTTTGGTTTGAGTAGATCTGAGCATAATCTCATCTCAAGGTTCTGGAGAAAGAAAGTGTGTTTACAGGGGAGGAAATTTGTTTTCTATAGTTTGTTCATTTCATTTATTTCTAATTATCCTGCAGAGCCATTTTTCTTCTAGATTTTTAAGCAGTATTAGCATAATACACAGGGAGATCTTGTGGCACACTGGTTAAAAAGGGGGTTCCAACAGATGAGTGGGAGAAAGATGCAACTCTGCTACAGTAAAGTTTTACAGCCTTGGAAACCCTATGGGGCAGTTCTATTCGGTCCTATAGGGTCGCTATGAGTAAGAATGGATTGAATGGCAATGGATTTGGTTTAGGGCATGATAAACTTGTTAATCTCTTGTCTTACTGTATATTGAGGGTATTTTTCACCCAGTATCAATTTTCTCCTGCCTCTCGTGTAACATAGGGATACGAGAAACTTTAGGAAGATCTTTTGTTTTTTAAGCTGTAATAGAAGTATTATGCAGTTCTTTGGAATAGCTAAGAACTCAAGCTATCTGGCGGTGGCTTTAGTTCCTGGATGCAGAGCCAACACCTATGAAAGCTGTCTCAGGTTCTAAAGAAAGTAGCCTCCACATTCACCTGCCAGCACACGTGCAAGTCCCTCTCTCAGATGCCCTGGGGCGAAGCCCGAGGAGGGTAAGCAAGCAAGAAAGAACAAGCTGAAGAGAAAAGAGGGTGGGGACTGAATGCCGCTCTGCGATTGGAGAGTGCATCTTCAAACTGGTCCAGGTTAGGGACTCAAAAGGGGAGGAGATGCCTCAGGACCTCACTCTAGTTGAGACTTCCTACTGTTCGAGCCATGATCGGCCAGTTCTGGGCTTCCTATCTTTTCCCGCTGATCCTAGTGGGCTTCGTTCAGCCGAGCCCGAACCAGGAGAAAATGAAGGTGAGTGTCCCACTGGGGACACAGGAGGATCTCAGCACCTGATGACTAACTTGACCGCCAGGGATGCGAGGAGTTCTTCCTTCGCAGCTGTTTACAAACGTCTGCGCCTAAACCGACTGTCTAGTGACTGAACTGTATCCTTTACATCTGGGGTTCTTTGACTGCTGTGTGGACGGGAGATAAAGCGTGAACTTCCCTTGTTGCTGCCCCCCTGGGGGTCGCTTGATAAATAGCCTAGAGCCAGTCCCCTCCAAGCTGCTCTCAAATTTGTCTAAGGGGTAGCCACGTGGGTGGGGCGGAGCGTGAAAGGCTGAAAGGTTGAGTTTAACATGGTCTTTCTGGGAGACGCTGCCCAGTCAGAAATCAGGAGGGACAAGAGAAGCTGGTTTGGGAATGTGCACTGAGAAGTTCAGGGTCAGGGAAAGACAAGTTTTTTGTTTTGTTTTTGTCTTGTTTTCCCCAGAAAATAATAAAATGCATGGTTGTCGTCTAGTTATAATAATCACAGAGGAGGTGCGTTGGAGATAAAGATGAGATCTGAAGTTTTGGTTCTGCTCCAAATTGCCTGTCATGGTTCAGAAAGCCCACTATTATTGTATTATCAGTTGCCCCTGTGACAGATGTTTATGTATGTCTGGGGATTTGTGAGGTGGGGTGGAAATTGGAGGTAAAGCTGATGATTTGAGGCAACAAGTGCTAACTTTAAAATCAGACTAATTTAAAAATTTGAGGCTTACTGTTATTGTTAAATGCCATCTAGTCGATTCCTACCCATCCATACAGGGTCTCTATGGGTCGGAACCGACTTGATGGCACTTAGCAACAACAGTGAGGCTCAAGTTTTTAAATTAATTTGTCTGGTTTTAAAGTTAGCACTTGTACTGTAGACATAAGCAAATCACAGATCTTCTATTGGTTTCTTTTTCCCATCTATAAAGGATAGAGAACCACATCTTTTAAAGTCACAAATCTTCTATTGGTTTCTTTCCCCATCTATAAAAGATGCCCATTTTATAGTGCAGGGCATCTCAGACTTTAGCTTGCAAATGAATCATGAGAGAGCTTGTTATAGGACAGCTCTCTAGGTCCCACCCCCATAGATTCTGATCCAGTAACTCTGAAGTTGTTGTTAAGTACCTTTAAAGTTGATTCTGACTCAGGGACTCTGTTTGAGGCTAGTTTGAGCCTCAGACCGTGAACCACCAACCTTGCAGTTCAAATCAACCTTGCAGTCCAGTGCATTAACACAGAGCACCACACTAGGATGCCAATTCTAAAGTAGAAACCAGGAATTTGATTTTGATCATTACTTCCAGGTTTTAGACCTCAAACCACTCTCTGAGTGGCTCTATTATTGGATTAATGTGAAGAGTAAGATGATGCCAGTAAAACCTTGTAAAATCTCTTCCCCTCTCTAAAATAAACCTCTGAAGTGAATTTCCAGGTCTATATCAGTCTGATTAGACTGCCTGATCCAGTGTTAGCTCCGGATATAGAAAATCTTCTTATGGCAAGTTGGGTTTTAGGTTATCCTGACCTCTTCAAACAACTTGATGCAGAACACTAAAGAATATGGGTAAGCTGGATAGGAAGGACTGAATGCTTTAAGTCTGCAATTTTCCTCGGTCTCTACATTCCAGCTCACAGAGTGATTTCAATGTGACTTTCTATTGCAGTAGCAAGAACAAAATGCTAGAAATTGTTTAGTACAGAGAAGAGTTGGCATAAAGGCAAGGAGAATGCAGGCACTTGGATGGCAACCCCTTCACAAGGAATTCCTTAGTTTAATGTGTGTATGCAGGTGTTTATAAATGTATAAGCACTTAAGAAAGAAACAAGCCTATCTTATGAGGAGTCTCCTTTTTTGCCAAGGATAGTGAAGGAACAGTTATTGTCTGGTACCCTGGTGTCAAAATTTATAGTCTTGTAGATGACGAAAGATCTCCTTGCTCCATCTACAGGACATACCTTCTTTGCATGGGCAGATCTTGATAGACTAAGATCCCATGTCACCCAATTTATAATACTCTAAAACTATGACTTTCCTCCACATCTCCAACTTCTCATAATATCTTGATCTCTGGTTCTAGGTTCTAATTGTCTTTTAGCCTTGGTATGTCCGTTATTAGGAAATTTCATTCCTATGCTTTACAATGTATAATCCCCAATTCATAAGCAGCCTAAATTGCTTCTCTACAATGTAGGGATGTGAGGAGGAGTATAGGTAAATTGTCAAAACTCCAGAAAGGTACTTCAATGAGATCCAGAGGAGGATCATGTTATGAGCCTGAATTTGGGGAGGGAGTTATAACTTGAAAATATAAAATGAGAAATTCATGTAGAACTTAGTTCTATTATGAGAAAGTGCAAGTTTTTTAGAAGGGCTGAGTGACTAGAGCTGGGAGTAAGGATGTAAGAGAGAATGCAATGTCAGCATGAAGGTGAATCGTACTAATCTAATGTAGTGCATATTCCTATATATACATACACAGCAAAAAAAATAAAATAAAAAAGAAGACATAAATTCTAGTAGTGGCATGAACTCTGTCTACAAATATTACTTGCAAAGGTCTATTCAATCCTCAGAATTTCAGCTGGTGACATGAAAGGTTTCTGAGTGTTTTGAAAAAGTTGACAGATGTAGGGAAGTATTGTTTATCTGTTTTTATTATATTTCAGATGGATTGCTACCAAGGGGTGACAGGTACCATCTATGAGTATGGAGCCCTTACTCTCAATGGCGAGGAATATATCCAGTTCAAGCAGTATACGGGCAAACATGTCCTCTTTGTCAATGTGGCTACCTACTGAGGCCTGACAGCTCAGTATCTTGGTAAGAACTCAGGTTTCAACTCTTTTGAAACAAGCTTTGCCAGAAAGGGCCATACTCTAAATTCCAAAAATGTTTGCTAATGTTTTCTTTTGGGGAAAGGGGAGAAATAAGTAATCATATGATTCCATTCCTCTAAGTTCTATCACTAATCTGCTCCTTAGAAGGTCATGAGAATTATTTCCATACTTGAGAACTAAGACTTTCCCAAAGATTGAACGAAAGACCACTTATAGTTAGATAAGTTGAGTTTGTTGCTCAGTGCTGTATGGGATCACATACACAGTAGGAACCAAGGGCTTCTCAGTAAGATGTTTGAAAGGACTTTAAAGTAGATCTTGGCTTGTGTTAATTGGTTTGGGAAGGGTTCAAGAAATTGAAGTTTTGCTCTAAATTAGATGTTGTCCGGAAATTGACTTTGAGTTCAGTTGTTGTTGAGTCCATTTCCAATTTATAGTGATCCTGTATAGGGTTTCTGAAGAGCGGCTGGTAAGTTTGAACCACCGACCTTGCAGTTCAAACCAACCTTGTGGTCTAGTGCTTATCCTCTAGCATCACACCAGGAGGCATCTCAAAACGACACAGGAAAAAATGTTTTCTATCTGAATGGCCTTCCAGTAGTGTGAAGGCTGGCAGAGGTGACTGGTAACATGAGCGAATGTTCCATCTCTCCAAACTTGGCCTAATTATCTAAGGTGGTTGAGGTGGATTTTTCTTTTTGAGCATTCATCAGTGAAGAGTTTGTACTTCCTGGTTATCAAAAAAAAAAAAAAAAAAGATTTAGAGCTTTACGTGGATTATGCTAGTGACAGATGTAGTTCTTGACATAACAAGAACTTTATTTGTGCTTTGTTGTGGTTGTTGCTTAGTGCCGTCAAGTCAGTTCTGACTCATAGCAACCCTGTACTGGATTTCCACGGATCAGCTGGTAGGTTTGAGTTAACAACCTTGTAGTTTGCAGTCCAGTGCTCATCCTTACAGCATTTAGGTTTAATTTAAATATGTTATGTGTTCAGTAGGTAATACAGTTATAAAATTAAAAAGATACAGAAGGGTTTATAGTGAAACTTCTGTGTTCCCTTCCCTTTAGGTAACCATTTGCGTCTTGTTTTTTCAAATAGAATTTATTCTATATCAGTACCATCACTCATCTGTCAATATATGATAATGTGGTGGCTTGCATATTGCTTTGATGCTGGAAGCTATGCCACTGATATTTTAAATAGCAGCAGGGTCACCCATAAAGGACAGGGTTCAGCTGAGCTTCCAGACAAAGACAGACTAGAAAGAAGGAGAGACAGACTACTTTTGAATGTTTAGCCACTAAAAACCTTGATTGATGAATTTTACCTACCCCTATGGATGCAGTAGTTCAAAAGAGGGAACAAATCTTTACAGCAAGGATCATTCCCAACCCCTCTATACACAGGGTAGATAGGGATGGGCAAGTTGAACATTGGCTACCCAAAATGGGGGGGCTAAAAAGGCAAGAAGTGAATGGCTTACAAGCTTTCAAGAGGGAGCCTAGATCCAGAGGATGTAGAGGAAGGTAGAATCTCCACTGAGTGGTATCCAATCTGTCTGGGTGGGGCTGAGGAAAGAAGATGGGGGTGGCACTCATGCAGCACAATTAGTAAATAATTGCTATCAGGACTGACTGTGAGGGTTGGAAATGTAAAGGTAGACATTTTGTAGCAAAACAAGGAGAGTGGTTGACTTTGCAGTCCAGAAGCGAAGGCTCCTGGGATCATCAAGGGAGAAGAGTGGAGGGCAGGACCCTACGCAGAGAAGCAGTGATGCCAGAGATGGAGGCAGAGATGATGACATGGAGAAAGGGAGCTGCTGGGGACTCTAGACCCAGAGAGGGGGAGGGGCTGTGTGCTGATGACCAGGGGGAAGGCTTGCAGGGTATAGCCTTTGGTTGGTTGATAATGCATGGAGGGGATTGTAACCATGGCAATGAAATGATATACGATAGGATGAATGTAAAGCTAATGTTCTCCCATGTAAACTATCACATAATTCATAATAAAACATTACAAAAAACAAAAAACAAAAAAACTTATGAAACACAGTCAGATAATACCAGAATATTGAATACTGAAACATTATGAAAAACACCAGAATATTGTCAGATAGTGCTGGGAATGAGCTCCTTGGATTGGAAGGCACTCAAAATATGACTGGGGTAGAACTGCCTCCTCACAGTAGAGTTGACCATGATGATGAAAATTAAGTGAAGCTTTTGGGACCTTCATTTGTTGATGGGGCACAACTCAAAATGAGGAGAAATAGTTATAAGCATCCATTAGTAATCAGAACATGCAATATATGACATATGAGTCTAGGAAAAATGGAAGTTGTCAAAAACGAAATTGAATACATAAAGATCAATAGCCTAGGCATTAGTGAGCTGAAATGAACTGGTATTGGCCATTTTGAATCTGATGATCATATGGATTACTATGCTAGGAATGACAAATTGAAAAGGAATGACATTGCATTCATCATCAAAAAGAACATTTCAGGATCTATCTTGAAGTATAATGCTGTCTGTGATACGATAATATTCCTGCACCTACAAGGAAAACCAGTTAGTACCACTATTATTCATATTTATGCACCAACCACTAAAGTCAGAGATGATAAAATTGAAGAATTCTACCGACTTTTTCAGTCTGAAATTGATCAAACATAGCTCAGATGTATTGATAATTACTGGTGATTGGAATGTAAGGGTTGGAAACAAAGAGGAAGGATTAGTAGTTGGAAAATATGGCCTTAGTTATAGAAATGGTGCTGGAGATCAAATGATAGAATATTGCAAGACCAATGACTTATTCATTGTAAATACTTTTTGAAAACAACATAAAAGACAACTGTATACATGGACCTTGCCAGATGGCATATACAGAATTCAAATTGACTACATCTGTGGAAAGAGATAGTTGAAAATCTCATATTGTCAGCCAAAACTAAGCCAGGTAAAACAGACCATCAATTTCTCATCTGCAAGTTCAGGCTGAAGCCAAAGAAAATTAAAACAAGTTCCTAAAAGCCAAACTATAGCTTTGAACCTATCTCTCCTGACTTTAGGGTTCATATCAAGAATAGATTTGATGCATGACACACAAATGACGTAGGACCAGAAGAGTTGTGGGATGACATAAAGAACATCAGATAGGAAGAAAACAAAAGATCGTTAAGAAAACAAAAAAAAAAAATAAGGAAAAGACCAAAATGGATGTCAGAAGATACTCTGAAACTTGCTCTGCAGAATGGAGATGCTAAAGTGAAATGAAGAAATAAAGAGATAAAAGAGCTGAATAAAAAATTTCAAAGGGCATCTTGACAAGACAAACTCAAGTATTAAATGAAATGTGCAAAGACTTGGAATTGAAAAAAGCATTTCACAGGCTGAAAGAAATGAATTAAAAATTCAAGCCCCAACTTGAAATATTGAAGGATTCTATGGGCAATATTGAATGATACAGAAAGCATCAAAAGAAGATGAAAGGAATACACAGAGTCACTGTATCAAAAAGAAATGGTCAATGTTCGACCATTTCAAGAGACAGCATATGATCAAGAGTCAATGATCCTGAAGAAAGAAGTCCAAGATGAACTGAAGGCTTTGGCAAAGAACAAAACTCTGAGAATTGATGGAATACAAATCGAAATCTTTCAACAAACTGATACAGCACTAAAGGCACTCACTCATCTATGCCAAGAGATTTGGAAGGCAGCTACCTGGCCAACTGAATGGAAGAGACCCATATTTGTACCCATCCCAAAGAGAGATGACCCAATAAAATGCAGAAATCATCTGAAAATATCATTAATATCACATGCCAATAAATTTTTTCTCAAGCTAATTAAAAAATGGCTGCAACACTACATTGCAATTAACGAATTGCAAGAAGTTCAACTGGATTCAGAAGAGACTATGGAATGAGGGATATCATTGCTGATGTCAGATGGATCTTAACTGAAAGCAGAGAATACCAGAAAGATGTTTACCTCTGCTTTACTCACTATGTAAAGGTTGTCAATTTAATGTGGACATGATGTGGACCATGACAAGCTGTAACACTGTGGAGAATGGGTATTCCGAAACACTTAATTATGCTCATAAGGAACCTGCACATAGACCAAGAGTCAGTCTTTCACCATACTTATTCAATCTGTATGCTGAGCAAATAATCAGAGAAGCTGGATTATATGAAAAGCATTGGCATCAAGTTGGAGGAAGACTCATTTACAACTTGCCATCAGCAGATGATGCAACCTTGCTTGCTAAAATCAAGAGGATTAAAATACTAATTGATGAAGATCAAAGATCACAACCTTCAGTATAGGTTTCACCTCAATGTAAAGAAAACAAAAATCCTCACCACTGGACCAATAAATAACATCATGATAACTGGAGAAAAGATTGAAGTTGACAAACACTTCATTTTGTTTGGATCCACCATCAACGTTTATGTAAGCAGCAGTCAAGAAATTAAGCAACATAATACACTAGCCAAATTTGCTGTACAAGACCTCTTCAAAGTGTTCAAAAGCAAAAATGTCAGTTTGAGGACTAAGGTGCACCTGACCAAAACTATGGTATTTTCAATAGCTTCATATGTACATGAAACTTGGACTCTACATATCCATTTCAATATTTGTTTCCCCAACTGGATATGAGCTTCTATTAATCTTTATTAACTCATTCCATGTTGTTGTTATTAAGTGCCAAAGAGTTAGTTCTGACTCACAGTGACCCTGTATAGGGTTTCTAAAAGTAGCTGGGGGTTTGTACTGTTGACCTTGTGATTACCAGCCTAGTGTTTAAACTATAGCAAACACCTAAAAATGACTAAGATGAAAAGAATGGTACAAATCTGAGCAGACAAGTTGAATGACTTTCTGGCAGTAGTAAGGAGCAGTTTGTGCTCTAGGGTTCCAGTGAGGATTCCAGGGATATTGGCATCGTTTACATCACTGGAATTGATAAGAGAATGGAGAATACTGTGGAGCTAGACTTGGAATTTCTCTGATTCCCTTTACCACTCCCAGATTAGAGCACTAAAGTGTGCCCCTGGGATGTGACTGGGATGACCCCATAATCCTCAAGATGTGTCATTATGGAGCAGGCTAGGGGTTAGGATAGCAGCGTAGTATCCATTTTATTTGCCTTCCTTAAAAAACACTGGTTCTGTAAACCACCCAATTTACAACAGGAAGTTTTGGTTGTTTTTTTTAAAAAAACAAGAACACTGGTCAATTCACCAACTAAAGAAGGATGTACCTTTCAAGTCTGACTTCTCTTCTACATCAAACAGGACCACCACCACCCCGTATAGAACCAACCAATGTGTGTTTCCTAAAAATGACTCTAATTAAATTTTAAATTACAGCCAGTTGTGAAAAATATTGAGTGAGAAAAAGATAGTCATTTGTATAAGATTCTGGAAACTGTCCAGCTCTGTGAACTTAAACCTTTCCCTTCATAGTTCACAGTTCCTTTATGTGATAAATGGGAAAATCCAATTGTGTTTTTCTGCTCAAAGTAAACATGCTGGCTAACCTCTCCATGCTCTTCCTTCTCTACCTACAGAACTGAATGCACTACAAGAGGAACTGAAGACTTTTGGTCTAGTTGTGTTGGGCTTTCCCTGTAACCAGTTTGGAAAACAAGAACCAGGCAGGAACTCAGAGATCCTTTCTGGACTCAAGTGAGTGTCGGCTTGGAACTTTGCAGCGATCCTGCAAGGTCTTCTTTTCCCCACTATACCTAGAATACCTCTGATTCTGGAAACTTCTGGCATGGATGACAGATTAATGTGTTAAAGAACATCACCTTGATGTTTTGAATTCTCTCTGGCCCTTGTGGCAACGCTAACGTTGAGTACTTTGATGGTGAAACCAGGGAAAGATCTAAAGGGAAAAAGCACAGAGATTCTGAGTCTAGCATTAGGAGACTAGAAGAAAGGAGGGAATGTAGGAATGGGGACGAATCATGAAATAACTGAAGAGGGGGAAGTGTAGTTTCCATTTCCTAGATCTATCATCTTGCTCCCTTTATCTCTCTTTTTTTGGGCAAAATTGTAATAGCTATTACTCTACCTTCTTGTTTTAATTTGGATTCTCCTGGGAACACTTGGATTATTGCAGATACGTCCGTCCAGGTGGTGGCTTTGTCCCCAATTTCCAGCTCTTTGAGAAAGGGGATGTGAATGGAGAGAAAGAACAAAAGGTCTTTACTTTCCTGAAGGTGAGTGGCATGGATTGGGCAGGTCGGGATGCCCTGAAAGCAGTGGGTTCTATCTAGGATTGGGGGTGGACTTCTTGGAAGGAGATGTTCATGGCAACAACAGTTGCAGGGCTCTGACTTCAAGCAGAGGAAACATGCAATGTTTGTATGATAAACTCTTGTTTGACAAGATTATGTATGTCTGCTCTTACATCAACTAACCTCCCTTATTGAATGTCTTTGTTGTTGTTAAGTGCATTTACAACCATAGTGATCCCGCGGAGGATTTTCAAGGAGTGACTGGTGGGTTTGAACCACCAACCTTTCAGTTAGCAGTCCACTGATTATCCTACAGCACCACACCAGGACTCCATTGAATAGTAATTTTTCATTCCACTGAATCATAATGGGTTATTCATTCACAAAGTATTTATTGAGTCCCTACTAAGGAGCTCTGGTAGTGTAGTGGTTATAAATCAGGCTGCAAACCTCAAAGTCAGTAGTTCGAAACTACCAGCTGTTCCGCAGGAGAAAGATGAGGCTTTCTACTCCCATAAAGATTTACAACCTAGGAAACCCTATATAGGATTGCTATGAGTCGGAGCCTACTCCACAGCACATAACCACCACCACTATGTGCAAAGAACTGTGCTATGGAATGAGTTGGAGTCTTGATGTGGCACTGTAGAGTAAGCACTGGATTGCTAGCCACAGTGTTGGCAGTTCAAACCCACCAGCTGCTCCTTGGAAACCCTATACAGGGTCACTATGAGTCAGAACTGACTCTATGGCACTAAAAACAACAACATGGAATGAGTTAATAAAGATTAATAGAAGCTCATATCTTGTTGGGAAGACAAATATAGAACTGGATATGTAGAGTGCTATGTGGGAAGTGCCTCTAAAGTCATAGAATATTAGAACCACAAACACACAAAATGGAAGAGTCCCTGAGACTTAGGAAAGGTGAAATGTTTTCTGTGTAGCATCATGCTCTGTAACTCTTGATTGCTTGAGTAGTAGTTGTTGTTGGTTGGTTGTTGGTTGTTGGTTGGTTGTTGGGGTTGGTTTGGAGTATGTCAGATAGTTAACACAAGTATGTTGAGATATATAATCACAAGTAGACTATCTATAGGAGGGGACCAGATAGAAGTAGAAATAAATTTGTCTTTTATTTTTTGTATTTCCATTCCAGAACTCCTGCCCTCCCCCCTCTGAGATTTTGGGCTCACCAAGGCAACTCTTTTGGGAGCCCATGAAGATCCATGACATCCGCTGGAACTTTGAGAAGTTCCTGGTGGGACCTGATGGAGTCCCTGTCATGCGCTGGTACCACCAGGCTCCAGTCCACATAGTCAAGTCCGACATCCTGGAGTACCTGAAACAGTTTGAAACCCAGTAGGAAGAACCAGAGAGTGGCAGAAATAGCAACTTGTCATCCACTTGAAGGATGCTTTACCAAAGAATCCATCTTTGCTTCCAACCCAGTCTACATATGACCAAATTATCAATGCCCCTGTGTGTATGTGTATGTTTGAAGAACTAGGGATGGGAAATTTATCTCTCCAATTCTCTCTTCCTAAAATATCTATTTCTCTTCTAATCCGTTCCAAACAAAAACCTTCCTTCAGGATAGATGGTTCAGATTATCCCCAAACCAAAATAAACACAATGCTGTACAGCTGGTTCCGACTCATAAAAACCCTATAGGGCAGTAAATCTTTACAGAAGCAGACTGCCACTTCTCTCACAGAGCACCTGGTGGGTTCAAACTGCACATCTTTTGGTTAACAGTCAAGTTTTTTTCAGATTACCCCTTGATCCTAAACAGGCAATACCCAGGAGTCCTGATAGCTATCCTTTTTCAGTTCTGAAGGTTTAAAGAAAGCAGGAACTGGCAACAAGACTGTCTAGGTCTCCTTCATAGCCTGTTGTCTGATAGAAATTAGACATGCATTGTGACACTCTTCTTCTCCCTACACAATCCTCCTTCCTTTCCCTGACTCCCTGTAGTTCTCCTATAGGATCTCTGAAGGCAGGATGAGAGCAGGAAACTCACCTCACATGAAGGGAGGGACATATCCATGATGGTGGGTCCCAAAGCCCCTTGAGGTCGGACCCTACCAGAACCTTCCCTGGTGCCTCTCCTTTAGTGCATTCAGGACATGGCACCTGGGCAGGAATGTCCCTTCACTCTGGATGGTAGATCTCTCACCCTGGGTCTTCAGCTTTGAACTTATTCTTATCACTGTCTAAAATCAAATAAAGTAATATAAATCTGAAACAACTGGATTCACTGTGGTGTTTTCCTAATCCCACATTATGCCTCCCTCACTTCGTCTGAGATCCTTTGACCTTACCTTAAGTTCATTTATCTTTATTTTGTTTTCTCAAAAGCTCTCTAGGTTTGTCCTTGACCCATTCGAAAGCACTGGGCAGTGTCAATGGCTGGGCCTGGATGCTCATAGCACTGTGATGTTGAGCACAGACCTCTTAAAATCAGAGTCCCTCTGTAACCTCCCACTCTGGTCTCCTGAGGGTCTCTACATGGGAAAGTCTTAATTCTCAAAAGGTCTTCTCACTCTCAACAAAAAGAAAAACACAAGCATTTCTGTTTATAAAATTAATTCATTCTCACTGTTACAATCAGAAAGCACAGAAAACTAGAAGAACAGCATACCTGAAACTATTGCTTATCAGATAATCAAAGGATCAACTGGGAATCGCTATCTGCCCCATACTATTTTATCATTTAAATAATGCTTGTTTATATGGAGATTGGTTTTTTAAATTAATTAAAGAAATTAAGGAAACATTAGATAAATAAAAATAACTTTGTTTCCTTTTGCACAAATTATTTCAAACATATTTAAACTTTAATATATATTTTGCTCTTACAAAGTACAGAAAATTTTTATATCAGTGTAAAATATCAAACAATGCTGTGATTTCCTGTCAGTTGCAACTCTATACAACAAAGCAAAGCATTTCTGAGTCCTGTGCCATCCTCACAATTGTCATATTTGAGCCCTTTGTTTCAGCCACTATGTCAGTGTATCTCACTGAGGGTCTTTCTCTCTTCTGCTGGGACTGGGACCTCCTGATAACATGGCCAAGGAACATGAAGTGTTGCAGACCATGTAAGACTAGTCAGAGGTTCGAGGCCCTCTAGGGCCAAGTGTAACAAATGAGGCCACTGGCAGTTAATGGCAAATTGCTTTCATATTAATATTCAGGTATATATATTAAATTAATACACTGAAGCCTTTGACAATCCACAGATAAATGTGGTATTTTCCTAAAGCCAAGACTAAAGGTTGCAAGGTTAACTAAAAATGTCTTAGCTAGTTCACAGCTCTTTGTTCTATAGACAAAGAACCCATCCTCCCTAATCCTTTTCCAGGTGCAGCCCATTCACCTGGGCATCTGGAGTCCTCCTGCAGACCTGGCTCAGGAAGCCAAAGCAGCAGGACTCCGCCCAAGCTTTTGTCTTTATCTCTCACCTTCCCCCAACTATGCTCAGGGGCTATAGATATGTTAATTGAGCCTGAGAATCCAAGTTGCTGGCCTGGGATTCGAACCAGCAAAAGCACAATGTAAAGTTACCTGAATGTCTGGAAAAGTACTGATGTTAGCTGTACCTTGCCTAAGTCCCTCCCAGCTTGGTGTGAAGCTCCTCCCCTGAATAAAGCAGAGGCCCGGGCCTCCCCAGGTGTGCATTACTGGTTGGCAGGCATGGAGTAAAGATCAGTGCATTGCTGGTTGGCAGGCATAGAGTAAAGATAGCAGTGCATTACGGGTTGGAAGGCATGCAGTAAAGATTGCAGGGCAGTGAGTTGCTGCCTGCAGAGGCCACGATGCCTGTAGTCCCAAGCCTGCCTATCAGTGATGTATCCACCCTGGCTTTGGGGTGCCTCTTTGTCTCTCTCTTTGTCTCCTTTGTCTCTTTCTGTGTATTCTTGATATATATGAATCGCCGTCAGGTATCCTCTCCTCGTGAACTGAACCCCAATGTCGAGGCGGGTCCCCGACAATGAAGCAAAGTCTCATTATCCTTGCTTCTAAGAAACATTTTAGCTGTACTTTTTCCAACAAAGGTTTGATCATTCTTCTGGCAATTCATGGTATAGTCAATATTTTTCACCTGCACCATAATTCAAAAGTAACAATTCTTTGATCTCCCTTATGCATTATCTAGCTTTTACATTCATATAAGGTAATAGAAAACACTATGGCTTGAGTCAGGTATATCTTAGTCTGCAAAGTGATAAATTTGCTTTTTAACACTTAAAAAAAACAAAACTTTTTATTGTGAATTGAGTGAACGTTCACAGAGCAGATCATTAGTTTTACATTCAACAAATCATTATAGTGATTGCAATCCCCTCCATGTACCATCAGTTAATCTCCTTAACTCTTGCACTCCTCCCTGTGACTCTGCCACCTTCATCTTTCCCCTGCCAACCTTCCTCTTGCCTGCCTATGATCCATGTCAGCATGTCTACCCTCTAGCCCATAAACAATTTTCCCTCCTCCCCACTCCTGGTAAACACCATAGAATGCTTCCTTTATCAAGAAAACCCCTTCTTAACACTTTACGTCAGTGGCCTCATACAACACCCATCCCTCTGGGATTGACCAATTAATTTCATTCAGCACAAGGTCCTCTAGGTTCATCAGCTGGTTTCTTTGCTCTACATAATTTTCCATGCTGAGGTTATTTGTTTGTGGGGTTTTTATTTTCTTCATTTCCATTTTAAAGATTTAGGGTTTACTAAATCTTTCTGATTTTCTTTTTTATTTTGATATGAAGTTGTATTCATTTTCTTTGAGGTTATCCTGTAATTTATTAATTTTTCCATATTTAAAAAAGTCTCTTTTATATTAAAATCTGCTTGACTTCCTAACCATTGGGAAGTACTGTATCTACACTATTCCCTGTTTTTATTTTGTAGTTCATTTGGTTACAAATTGATTTCTCTGGTTCCCTGTTTTCTGTCTTATAAGTATGTTTTACTATAAATACCTATGGTAGCATAGCAGTAACGAGTTGGGCCCATTCTGCAGGAGAAAGATGAGGCTTTCTGCTCCCATAAAGATTTACAGCCTCGGAACCCTGTACATGGTCACTAAGAGTCGGAACCGACTCCATGGCACACTACCACCACCACCATATCAGGATTGGTGCTGCAGGTTAATGTGCTGGACTGCAAGATCAGTTTGAATCACAAGGTTGGCAATTCAAGCTCACCAGTCACTCCTATACAGGGTTACTATGAGTCAGAACTGACTCGACGCACGTAACAACAACAGCAACATAACAACAACAGCAACATATCTGGATTGAGTTTGGGTGGTATTGTAATGTACATTAATCTCAGGTTGTTTTCTGCTGTTGTTGGTTCTCAATCCAAAAACACCCATTAGTATTTTTTGTAAAGTTGGCTGGTTATTACAAATGCCTTTAATTTCTGTTTATCTGGAAATGTACTAATTTTGCCATAGTATTTGTAGAACAATGTTGCTGAGTATATGATTCTTGGTTGGCAATTTTTATCTTTCAGAGTTTTGTATATGTTGTCTGATTGCCTCCTTGCCTGCATGGTTTCTGCTGAGAAATCAGAGTATAGGCTTATTGGTTCTCCTTTGTAAGTAACTTTTCATTTTTCCCAAGCAGCTTTCAGGATTCTTTCCTTGTCTTTGGTTTGGAAAGTTTGCTTACGGTATGTCTTGATGATTTCCTTTTGGGACCTATCCTTTTCAGGTTCCTTCATCTTGTATGCTTATCTTCTCATCTTTCATGATGTTAGGGAAGTTTTCTCCCAACAGCTCCTCAATAATTTTCTATGTGCTTTTTATTATCTTCCTTTTCTGGAATTCCAAACATATGTAAGTTATTCCTCTCCATGGTGTCCCACATAACTCTTAGGCTTTGCTCATAATTTTTCATTCATTTTTCTGGTTGTTCTTCTAGCATATTAATATTAAAATATGTATCTTAAAGCTCACTAATTCAGGTTTTCATTGCTTCACATCTACTCCTTTGTCCTTTCAACGCATTGTTCATTTCTGAAATCTTAGTATTAACCTTCTGGATTTCCATTTGCAGGTTGTGTATTGTTTCAAAATTTGCATTTGTTTTGTCTCTTTGTTCTTATAGTGTTTTCCTGAATTCTTCTAAAGTTTTTTCTGTGTTCTCTTGCTTTCCTCAATCTTTCTGTCAATCCCTAGCTCCACCACTGGACAAAAGCCGATACTACTGCTATACCACCTGATCAACAATAGATACCAACCAATACCAGACAAACCTACCCTAAACTGAGATGCATGAAATGCAAATAGACAATTGTGCACACATTTTCATTCATTAACTGCACCCACAGGAAACAGGTGGTGAGAGTC